TTCTTATATTTTATTCGTCCTTCTACCCATCGTTTTTATATTTTCTAAATACCCTTTAATATTATTAATATTATCTTAATCTATTATTAGAATAGATTACGAATTTTCCTATTTTCAATTCTTATAAGGTTAATATGCTTTATGTCATCGTCCGTGTCTTAACTCATTCCTGGGATTAAAATTTCCAATTTGCTTATTCTATGAAATAAACCAGGGGTCTCCAAACTTTCCAGCCTTAGGGCCATACTGATTACTCCAGTAAGTTCCGAGGGCCAAGATGGCAACACTGTATTTTATATAGTTTTTTATATTTTATTATTATTTATATATTTTATATATTTCTGTAACCCCCTCTGTGGCTCAGTGGTAAGAGCGCCTGCCTTTAAACCTAAAGGTCGTGAGTTCGAATCCCACCTGGGTGGAAATTTTCGTTTATTAAAAAAAAAAAATTAATAAATGAAAATAATTTCTATCCTTGTGTGATCGGTACACACCGGAGGGACCGCAGACGTTCGGATACAATTAGCGTCTCTTAGCAAAGACAATGACGTCGACTTTGCTAAGTATCAAGACAATTACTCTACACACACACACACACACACACTACACCTCAAATTGTAAGATTGGCGAATGGATTTAGTGTCCGCAGTCATTTAAACACAAACAAACAACAACAATATATTTCTGTATTTTATGTGTAATAGAATTTTGCTGAAGTGTGGATCATTTTTTGTAAAATAACGAATAACTTCATTTTTTGTAAGTGTGGTAAGCTGTCAACATTATTAAGTATGTCAAATATTCACCTATTTTTGATATATTTTAATTTAATATAAGGTAGACACAAACAAACAAAATATTTCCACCAGTGGAAATCTCCAATTTCTCCCGAGATTGTCCACTAATAACATAATTATTCTTTCTACTATTTTTCAACGCCATCATTAGAAATTGTCACAAACACACTTAACTATCCGAAATAATAAGAAGTCTGAAAAATAATAGCCGCAAATCACTTAAGTGTTACGCACCTGATAACTGGGAGGAGACTAAAGACCCCACCTAAGTGGGACGAGTGCGAGGACGAAGCGATGACAATAGTGGCGTAACTACAAGCGTTTACAAGTCAGTTCCTATGAAACTGTTGTGAAATAAAATAGGGCGTACCTCCTTAAAACAAGTTTGTGCGTGTAACAGTATTTTGATTTTATTTAAATTGTTGCTTTTGTGTGTGATTTAGTAGAATGGAAGAGAAGCGAAAAATTGATAGTGAATGCAGAAAATTCAAAGATCAGTGGAACATTCAGTATTTCGTAATTGAGTCCAGTAACAAGGCGCTATGTTTGATTTGCAATGAAAGCATAGCCGTTCTTAAAGAATATAACATAAAACGTCATTATGAAACAAAACATTCTCAAAATTACTCAAAATATACAGGAATTGTGCGGACAGAAAAATTCGAAGCTTTGAAGTGCGGATTGAAATCGCAGCAATCTTTATTTACAAAAGTCAAAACTGAACAAGAGGCGGCAACTTGTGCCAGCTTTTGTGTGGCTCTTGAAATTGCAAAACGTGGAAAACCATTCACCGATGGAGAAATGATCAAGGAATGCATAATTGCAGTAGTCGAAGAAATGTGCACTGAAAAGGTAAATTTATTAAAAACTGTCAGTATGTCAGCAAACACTGTGGCTCGAAGGGTAGAAAACATCGCTGAAAATATATCCTCTCAACTGTTCGACAAAAATGGACATGTTGAGTGGTTTTCTTTGGCATTGGATGAGTCAACGGATGTGTCAGATACTGCTCAGGTGTTGATTTATATTAGAGGAGTAGATAAAAGCTATGAAGTGCACGAAGAACTTCTTGATATGTATAGTATTCATGGCACAACTACTGGTACCGATATTTTTAAAGGAGTTGAAATGGCCATTAATAAAAAGAACCTTCGATGGAAAAACTTGAAATGTATTACAACTGATGGAGGCAAAAACATGAGTGGGAAAGATAAAGGAGTGGTCGCTCTTGTGTCAAAGGCTGTAGAAAATGACGGCGGCTCAAAACCATTAGTCTTACATTGTATCATTCATCAACAGTCTTTGTGCGGAAAATGTTTGGATATGTCTGACGTTCTGAAACCAGTCATATCAACTGTTAATTTCATCAGATCTTTTGGGTTGAATCACCGACAATTTCGACAATTTATTGCAGAGATTGGAGAAACAGACTTACCTTATCATACTGCCGTACGCTGGCTTAGTTGTGGGAAAGTCCTTCAGCGCTTTTTTGAACTCCGAGCAGTGATCGAAATTTTTTTGAATGAAAAGCACCGCCCTCTTACTGAATTACAAAACAACGCATGGCTATGGAAGTTAGCATTCTATGTTGATTTGACAAAACATGTGAACGAACTGAATTTGAGATTGCATGGAGAAAACCAGCATCTTCCTGATTTATACACTAATATCAAGTCATTCCGGATGAAATTGATACTGTTTCAATCACAACTACGAAGTAAATGTTTTTCACATTTTAAAACATGTGAAATATTCAGCCACACTACTGAGACTGAGTTTCCTATTGATTTTGCAATCGAAACTTTGAGTGCTTTGAAGATAAATTTTGATATTCGTTTCTCGGACTTTGATGCCATTGCGAATCAAATTAAGATTTTTCAGAATCCTTTTGATGCTGACATTGAAACCCTAGCCCCGGAACTTCAAATGGAAATGATTGATCTTCAGTGCAGTGATATAATTAAGAACAAATATGAAAACTCATCTTTGTTTAAATTTTATAAGAGTCTTCCACTGACACAATTTGATAATTTGCATAAATTTGCTCGTGGGTTGTTTTCCGTTTTTGGTACTACTTATTTGTGTGAGAAAACCTTCTCCAAAATAAAGTACACAAAAAATGTATACAGATCTAAATTAACTGACGAGCATCTTAAATCTCTTTTAATAATTGGTACAAGTAAAATTAGTCCACAACTACAAACTATTGTCGGTGGAAAATCTCAATTACATACATCTCATTAGCATTTCATATGTCATGTTTGTTATAAGGTATGTGTTGTTCATTACTTACAATGTATAAAATGTTAGTTGGATTTATTTCAATAATTTGTTAGATATTATATGCTGAAGTTAAATTTACTGCATAAATTATATATGTCTTTACTCATCACCATTTTGTGTTTCTTTATTCAACTTATCACAAACATTTTATTTGCTATAAAAAATATTTGTTCTCTAAAAGGAGTTTTCAAGTATGTCTCCGCGGGCCGGACAAAATCTGTCTGCGAGCTGGATGTGGCCCTCGGGCCGTAGTTTGGAGACCCCTGAAATAAACCAATAAATCTCTTATTTGAAACTCTCTCGTTTCTTCTGAGTCTAATCATGTTTTACCGGCCGCTCTTTTCCAATAATTCATTTCTGTTGCTGCCAAAGTCTTTATGGTTTTCTCCTTCAGTGGCAATATTTTGCTTCCATATTAACAATGCTTTTGACAATGCTATTATAGATTTTCTGTTTATCTTCCATCGAAATAGTATTATACCACAGTATGCTGTTTAATTGCCGAGTCGACTGACTTGTCTTCTCTGGCTACTTCTGTGTTATGTATACATAGTGTATAACAAGATATTTATGCATTTTACAGTGATTTATTTGTTGATTCTACTTTTCCAAAATTAGATTTTATTGATGTCCTCATATAAGCATATATTATGTTTTTTTTACATTACTTCTAAAACCCATTTCTGATATTTCTAAATAAGTTTGCGTGTCATATATTCTAAATCTTCTTAGTCCTGAGCCAAAACTACTTCGTCGTCTGCAACGCATAATGTGTACAATGTGGCATCGTTTAGAGAGATTCCCATAGCATAACATTTTCTTTTCTACGTCTTCAGCAGTTGCTTCGAGTAGATCTTAAACAAAGTAGTCAACAGACAGCATCCTTGTTTAAGTCCATTTTCTACCACAAACCCTTTAGATATATCTTGATCTTTCTTTATTTTGCTAGTGTTTTTTTTAATAGTTCTTGCATTGCCTTCATAACAGTTACGTTGATGTTTGTTAATTCTAAAGGTTCCGATAGTTTTTTTTATGGCACACTGTCGAATATTTCTTGAAGATCTACGAATAAACGGTATATCGCTTGGTTTCGAGTCGTTTTTTTTTCTACAAGTTGTGTAATCGTGAAGAGATGGTCAATAGTGGATCTACCGGCTCTGAAGCCAGCCTGTTCTTCGGCCTCCATATCACTGTATTCTCCCTCTATTCTCTTTTTTTTTTATTAATTGTCCGTAAACTTTCGAGATCATACCTAACACTGCTATTCCTCGGTAGTTGTTACATCTGTTCATGAAAAACTTTCAGTTTCAGTCAACTACAACATGGATGACACAATATATGTATAAATAGACCAGTGAGTATCTTATTCACGTAACATATTAAAAACTTTTGTTTGGCACTAGGATAACTTCTTACTAGACAAAATTCTAGTACTTCTATTACTGAGTAATTTGAAACCATGATAGCTAAATGAACCGTTTCCAGTTAAAGCTCCGGTAAATACTATAAGTTCAAAGTTTTAAAGCTCTAAGCTTGAAAAATGAGTACTAGCTCCTTTTTCGAAAGTCTACAGTAACTCGTTTGCAATTTCATTGTATGGTGGCAGCCTTACTATAGTTATGCTTCGACACTTGCTTAAGAGACTGTTAGTAGTTCCAAGCTGTTATTATCAAACAAGGTTTAGAATTAATAGTATGGCTTCAATGATAAATATCTGGCCATACAGTTTCACTTATGTGTAGAATAAAACTATTTGGTAATAGAAATTAACTATATTTTGTTTTCCTAAAAATTCGATTTTGGAAGAAGAGATTGGGATTTTGATTGTGTAAATAAAATTTGATAACAAATTATTTTGGTCTTATTGCATTCCCTTGTTACAAAGTTGGAAAAGAAATCTATGCTTAGTTAATTATATGTTTAAAAAGAGGGTGCAGCTGTCGATGCTTCATCTGTTACTGGTGCATCTGTCACTGATGCGTCTGTCACTGGTGCATCTGTCTCTGGTTCAGCTGTCGATGGTGCATCTGTCACTGGTGCATCTGTCACTGGGGCATCTGTCACTGGGGCATCTGTCACTGGCGCATCTGAAGGTGGTGTAGCTGTCGATGGTGCATCTGTCACTGGTGTAACTGTTGATGGTACCGCGGATGTACTGCTGTTGGCATTGCACCAGTCCATGAGAACCCAGAGTTTACCTGTGGGGTACCAGACAGTGTTGAATCTCATTTTAAGGAAGTCTCCAACGGTATTTCCGATAAGACCAGTATTGAGGGCTGTTTCAATACCTTCTTGGATAGCTAGAGCTGTGGCATCTCCAATGAGACCCAATCCAGTAATGGAAACCTGTGAAACAAAAAAAAAATATTAATCTAATGGATTAGAAATATCTGTAATTATATATTTATTATACAATATTAATATTGTCTACAACATTCCATGACTCTCGTGCAGCAATTCCTACATCGGCTAAACATCTCAATTATTGAAATCACGTATTACACTACACAAAAGTGATTCTCGACTTCACCCTGACCGCTGTGCATTAGCCAAACATGTCCATTCCAGTGGTCATCTCATGGACTATAAGAACAATACAATTCTCCACCGTGAGAACAATAAATCTAAAAGAGAGTTCATTGAAATGTCTTATATTTTCCTTAACGATTTTTCCATCAATGTTAAGAGTAACATTAAGAATCTAAGCGATATATACCACTTCTTACTTAAATCAGATACCAAGAACAATACAACATCGCAGATAACTAACTTGACTGATATATCTATTAACAACTAACCTACTTTCATAATAATTTTCATTAACTAAAAAAGATAACATTCCCTTGCTTTTCTTAGATACATATCAATAAGATATTATTATAATAATACATAAACAATATACTAATTAAAAAAGAATTTCAATTAAGCAAATTCTAAACTAATAACTCCCCAGACTGGGATCTAACTTCATCGGTTTTACCAATGAACCTTAACGACATAAATATTCAAAAGCACTACTTGTAATAGTCAGCGCTTGCGTTCTAAGAAAACAGAACCTCACATTCAAACTTTATAACAATCAAAAATTTAGTTATTACCAACAATTCAAAGAATTACTTCCTTTAAATATAGTTACATTGGGTTTTTCGATTAACCTTGAGTAAACCTTTGCGTTTTAAGTTCAAAGCTACCATACATTTCCAACGTTAACAAAAAAACTTTTTTGCACATAGTAACAAAAAACACCACTATATTGTTACTAGCTAAGTTTTTTAACATCCTAACTCGACATTTCTAAAATCTACGGTAAGATAAATGTTTTTTATTAGATAATATATGGTAGCTAATTATAATTTATTCTCTTTCAGCGCTGAAGAAGCCAAATTAATTCTCTTTGGCGAAAACGTTCGGCGAAACACTTGATACACATTAGAGTTTTTCTTGCAGATTTCCCCAATATTTAAGTGTTTACTATTTAACTTATCTGCAAAGAAATTTCTTTTCTATATATTATATATATATATATATATATATATATATATTATATATATATATATATATATATGTATATATATATATATATATATATATATATATATATATATATATATCGGAAAAGGAGTACGACCGTCAATCCAATATATAATAAGGATCACTCAGACGATATAAGAACCCACCACTCGTCTGAGTGATCCTTATTATATATATATATATATATATATATATATATATATATATATATATATATATATATGTATATATGTATATACTATAGGTCTTAAGTTTAATAAAAAACTTACATCTACATCTGCCACGTGCCAGTCAACAGTGAAGCTATCTACAGTGGCGTTGGGTTGGATTTTACCTGCTTGGATTCTTCCAGTCCATTTTGGTTTTTCCATTACAATTCTAAAAAATTATTTTATATTAATTCAATTTTACAATATTAGCAAATGTGCTATTAGTTTTAAATATAGAAAGACAAGAAATCTATATTTCGTTGCTGGTTGATGCATTATTAACATTGTTTCTGTACTTTCTGCTGTTAGTGGTAGGTAATTCTAAAGTAAATTCCTAAGTAAAGTCCTCATTTTAAATGCTTCAATGCGATTTATTTATCTAACCTTAACCTTAACAGACCACGTCATTGCGTCATAAAATGAAATGTGCCATATGTAGCACTCCATAGCATGTAGTCTAAGGGCAAGTGAGAGACAAAACATTTTTTATGGTAGATAGAATGTAGGTTGATCAAATGATCACCCTCACCTCAAACCCGAAGAGACAGTAAAGTTTTGTGTCGAGGTCTTGTTCTTGTAGGCCAATTATCTGTCATTTGTATAGAGATTAGTCTTACCTATCTAATTATTTCGCTTTTGTCATTGTTACAGAAGCCGTTGATCATTTCTAATTTACAGGCTGCCATCATTCAAGCCAGATGTAAATTTATCAGCTATATAATTATAAAAATACTTACTTGAAATCTCCTTTGTAGTGTTGTGTAAGGAAAAGTTCTTTAACAGTAGCTGCATATTTGCCAGAGATTGTGAAAATGGGCCAATATGTGGTGTAGTCAAAGACTGCCTCGTCGTCAGCGTCATCATTTATTTGTTTAGCTGAGATATCCCAGTCAGAAAGACCGGCCCATCTTAGAGTATTGAGGTCGACTGAGGTGCTAGAAAATTAATAGAAAATTTTAAATGTAAATATAATAATAAAAAATTATTTAATAGGAGACTTAAATCTCAAATAAATAGTTAACATATAAACAATTTTTAAAAAATGCATTTTTCTCAACTTTTAGAAGAGATGTCATAGTAAGTTAACAAGCCATTAGTAAATAAAGACAAATAAAGATTAATGCGATAAACAAAAAGCAGAGACATTTAGGTATATCATTTTTAGTCAAGGCGCAAGAAGAAACAGAAGAAAATTTAAAATTAACGAAACGTCATATTTGACAAAGCCACTGTTAAGTCTTTGAGAGACAACCTTTATTGAAAAAAAAAGATAAATTGTAGAAGAGATCTCTAGACTTTTTTCTCAACAATAATCATTCCAAGTAAAAGAGCAAGAATGTGTTTTTATGTACAAAATACAGTTCTATGCTTTTATCAATTTATACTTTAAAATTAATACATGATTATATTAAGAATATTTTTAACTTTATCTTATATATTTCTTAAAAACCGGTTAATAATATTTACTAAAGATTCTGATTAATTTGGGATACTAATAAATACAGACGTTACAGATCAGATAGGTCACATAATCTTGTATGTTCTCTCACCTTGCAACACCGATATCTCCAGTCCATGATAAGTTTCTAATAGCCACGTAAGGATCGTGTGGTGGAACTCCCAATTCAGGTACTCCTACTCTCATTGCTTTGTTGGCGCATCTCAAAATTTCATAGCCAGTGTCGAGGTCTTTTCCTAAAATTAAATATATTTTGTTATAATTCGCTTAGATAAAGGACCAGTTTTCAACTGCTAACATAAGCAATGTAAGTACGACTTAACGTTGTTGAGTCGTACCTACATATTTCCAAAAAAAATATTTTTTTGATTTATTATATAAACGGTCGTATTAATCACTAGTACCTACTCCTGTTATCAGAGACGAAAATACCACTGAACCTTTAAAAATCATACGAACAAGCTAAATTTTACTGAGAATGTCAATTTTAGGACCCAAAAATGAGGCAACTCCTACCTACGGACCTAATACCACCTTTCATGGGGAAAACATTGATTTAGTAAAAATCTGGAAGCCCTAGAAAAAAATGTTTTAAACAAGAAATGTATCTCCCCTACGAGGGGGGTTAGCGGGAAATTCGCGGGTAAGAGTGGCAAACTCCGTGGTTAGTAGTAGTAGCCGTTAGTTGTAGCTCTAGAACGTCAGGTCTTCTGTCAATATTGCCACAATTGAAAGCATTGCTCCTGAGTGACTCTTTCCTCAAGTAGCTGTAGCTGCTATCGTAGCTGTGTTTCAGTCACCAGACTGGAATCCAAAGACTTCTGACAGTACTGCCACATTTGGTCACATGGCGCCTGTATATTTTTTCTCCAAGTTAATTTGCTCATTTTCTATTTTAGCTGCACCGTACTGATGACAACCAAATAGTCAGAAATATGTATATACGGTTGCCTTTCACTTTCATCTATTTTCTTTTTTACTGATTTGCAAGGTTTGCCAACAATTTTTTCCTTATTTATGTTAGTCCCGCATTAATTAACATCCTTTTTTGTTTGTTTTTTTAAGGGAACGTATAATTTGCCAAATGTCAAGGTTGAGGGCAGAGTAACAGAAGAAATTCAAATGCGTCGAGGAGTCCGGCAGGGATGTATCTTATCGCCACTTTTATTTAATCTGTATAGTGAAGCTATCTGTGAACAAGCACTCGAGAAAGAAGATCTTGGTCTGATAATAAATGGTGAGACGATCAACAATATAAGATATACTGACGATACAGTTCTCCTAACGGGAACGCTAGTAGAACTACAACATCTCGTTCAAAGTCTCAATATATACTGTAACAGTTACGGCTTAAAAATTAATTTGAAAAAAACTAAAGTTATGGTAATCACGAAATCAAAGAACATCAGAGCTAATCTTGTAATAGACAATACAACGATTGAGCGTGTGCCCTGTTATAAATATCTAGGTGCTTGGATCACAGACGATACTGATCAAACAAAAGAGATTAGATGTAGAATAGAAATCGCTAGATCAGTCTTTAATAGAATGCGCAAACTCTTTTGCAATCGTGATATCAATATAAAGTTACGAATACGAATGCTGCGGTGTTATGTCTTTTCTACCCTGTTATATGGAGTTGAGGCTTGGACACTAAAACAGTTGTCCATAAAAAACATCGAAGCTTTCGAGATGCGGTGCTATAGGCGCATTCTCAGAATATCATGGATGGACCGCGTCACTAACACGCAAGTACTCCAAACTTTAGACAAAAGATGCGAAATTCTAAATGGGATAAAAACTAGAAAGATGGAATACTTGGGGCACATTGTGAGAGGTGAAAAGTACGAACTTTTAAGAAACATCATGCAGGGCAAAATTAAGGGCAAAAGAAGTGTGGGAAGAAGAAAAATATCGTGGCTTCGTAATCTACGTGAATGGTTCGGGTGTAGTTCGATTGAACTTTTTAGGCGCGCTGCTAACAAAGTCGCAGTGGCCATGATGATTTCCAATCTCCGCTAGGAGTGGCACGAGAAGAAGAAGATAATTTGCCAGTTTGAAAAAGGAAATCTTATACTGTGAGACGTAACAACCAACTGTTGACAGAAGGAAGTAAAAATTATTTTGAAATGACCTGGTCGACCTGGTCGATGATAATCTTTTATTATCGATTCATGACCAGATACTAAAAACTTTGGGATTAAGTTCAACCCAAAGGTTAATATTGTTTATTATTTATAAGTCAAAACAATATTCATAAATCATTTATTCAATGAATGAGAAAAGATATCTTTAACTCAGTATATAACATCAAGGTGATTCGTCAATATGCACTAAGATCTACAGTTATCCCTAAAAATGTGAAGTAAGCAAATGCTCAAAATATCCATTAATTAATGTGATAAGTAACGTCCTTAAAAATTTTTAAAGACTATTTCATGAAAAAATCTGACAAAGTGAGAAAAAAAAAGTGTCTGGATTTTTGATCTTCGAAAAATTCCCAGAACTAGAGAAGCACTGTTTGCGATGATGTTCTGTTAAGAACATCATCTGGAAAATATGGTTTAACGTGTGTAACGGCAGATTTTCAAAAAGCTTTTGATAAAATTTAACATGTAAAATGAATAAATGTACTAAAAAGTATAGAAATTAATGACAAAGATAAACCCATCATTAAAATTTGTACTGGAATCGACATGCCTACATAAAAATTAAAAATAAACATATCAAAGATATATCTATATAAAGAAGAGTTAGACATGAATATATTATTAACTAGTTGTTCAATTGTTTCAATTTATACTCGGGTCCATTGTTCAAAAAAGCACGTGAAATTTAACGATATGAAATAAAAAAATTGGGAATTACTTAAAGATTAGATATGAAGATGATACGGTAATTCCATTAGACTAGTATAAAGTACATCCAAATTCTACTGAATCTTATACATTCAGTAGGTCAGCAAATAAATAAAGACATCAAAATACACGAACAAAATATTAAATATTTATTTGCAGCCGTAACACATTCACATGAACAAGTCGAATGAAATGGAATATACGGTCAAAGAGTTAACAAATCACATATTGAGGAACTTGCTATCATAAAGCTCGAAGTTGGTCCAGATGTTAAAATAAAACGTAGAATTTCACTGACCAAAGCCATCGTTTAAATATAATACTATGTCTTTGTAATAATCATATAAACTAACACACATAATGATTTGAAATTGCTATGTTTAGACCCTGTTGTTAATTGAAGTAAAAGCACATACTCAAACGTACTAACAATAAATCAGCTTAAAGAATTGGAAATGCGGATATATAGAATGGCATTTCTATCTAAGATTTCTTAGAAAGCTCCTATTACTAACAATAAAGAATGGGGAGAAATCAACAAGAACACATAATTAATAAAAGATATTCTTTCTTATCTTTTGCAACATGAAATATCTGTTTAACACTGAGGTTAGTCCAATCTCTGATATTCTTTAGCCAAGATTTCTCCTTTCTTTCCAAGCTTTTTCTTTTCTCTACTCTTTCTTGCATGATGACATACAGAAGAGAGTATATATCGTTTCGAAATATGTGGCCACCAGATACGATGTTTTTATTTTAATTGTGTTCATAAGCTTTCTACCACATCCAACTTGTCTTAACACTTCTTCATTTGAGACGGACATTTCGAATGTCTCTAAATTTTTTACGGATTGGGCTTTCCAAGCTTCTACCTTGTATAGCAGTTGTAACCATAAGCTCAAAGAGTTTTACTTTTAGTACAAAATAAATTGACTGCATTCCCCAATAATAAAAACATTAGATAAATCCAACAACTAACACTGCAAAGAAATATCACTTTAGTACGGGCTGCATATGGAGGTCTATCAGACATCTTCAAGAGAAACATGCCAAATTATATGAAAAAACTTCTTCTTCTTCATTTTATATAGACATGTTTATGTCTGTTTTTCAATATGTCTCCAGTAAGTTGTCATTCCATCGTTTTCGTGATCTTTCTACTGATCGTCTTGCTAATGGGGAACCATCTCTTGCCGTCTTTACTACTCTATTTGTTGTCATTCGGCTTATATGATCGTTCCATTCTACTCTTCTATTCTTACCTAGTTTTTGATATTCTCCACCTTGCATCTATGTTGTATATCTGTACTTCTAGCTCTGTCCCGTAGTGTCTTACCATCAATTTTTCGAAGTGTTTTCATCTCTGTTTTGTAAATTCTGCCTTTTGTTTCTTTCCCGATATTTTTATTGCTCCATATTGTTTCATTTAGATAACCTGCTGCTCTGTTTGCTATATTCACTTGATCTTCCACTTCAGTTTCAAGCTTTCCGTAGCTAGACAATGTGATGCCTAGATATTTAAACTCCATCACTGGTTCTATTATCTGACCTTCCAGCTACAATTTACATCTTAGTAAATTTGCTGTTGTGACCATGCATTTTGTCTTTGTTGGAAAAATTAACATGTTAAATTTTCTGGCGGTTATATTAAATTGGTGTAGCATACGTAGTAAAGCATCTTCACTTTGAGAGAGTAGTATTGCGTCGTCTGCATATCAGATTATTTAAAGTTGTTTGAATAAAAAAAGACGTTCGGCCAATATGTGCTTCCAGTCATGACTTACCGCGCCGAAACACTTTGCTTAAACCAGCCTACACTAACAAAACTCAGCGTAGTCCAAAGACGAATAGAGCACGCTTAGACTGACTCTCAGAGACAGAGTTAAAAATAAAAAAAAATAAGAAGAAACATCCGACCAGGATAAATGACGAGCGGTGGACCCAATTACAAGGTGGGGGACCAAGAGCTGCCAGAAGAACAAATGTAGACCCTTTATACGATGGACAAATAACGTCAAAAGAATCTCTGGGAATTGGCTACAGAAAGCTCAAGCCCGACAGAACTAAAAGAAATTAGCTGAGGCTCATATTCAACTTTTGACGCAAAGGCTGGATGATTATGATGATATAAGACAAATACTTAGGAAGTATTGGGAGTATAATAAAGACGTACATGACACATTTATAGATTTCAAACAGGCTTATGATTCAATTATTGGTTTAAAACTATTGAATGCAATGGTTGAGCTGACCATACTTAAACTAGCCTACTAAGCATACGAGCTGCAGTAACGCGAATGTATTGAAGTAACTGCCTTGTTTAAGTTAGAGTAGGAGGGAACATCAAATGCTTTCTGTCAATAAAATATGTCATGCAAACAATATATCTGGAAATCAAACCAGACATACCGCTCGGGGAACAAAGATCGTTCTTGCCTATGCCAATGACCTAGATACAGTAGGACAATTAATATGAGAAGCTAAGGATATTTTCTTAACTTCTAAAAAAGTTGCATTAAATATAAGTCTAATAATAATGAATCAATACCAAAATACATTAGGCAAATTACAAATGGCGAATAAGGCAAAATATTGGTAGAGACGATATTAACTTCGAGATGGTTGAAGAATTTATATTATCTAAGAAAAACAACCACCATCGATAACAAGGTAGAACGACAAGTTAAAACGCAAATACTGACTGGAAGCAGATCTTTCTTTGCAATGCAACATCTACTGAGGTTAAAACTTCTCTCACAAAGTGCAAAAAACCAGTAGATTCACTTGAAGAATTGAAGTAGATTCACTTGAACTTGATGAATTTTATGAAAAAATATACGTACTTTTAGAAGAAAACTTTAAAACTTATAAAGATGGAATAAATTTCAGATGAATATAAAATCAGCATTTTAGAATTTTTGTATTAAAACAAAAATAATTTTATACAATCTACACACATTATTATGCCATTTAATAAGAATATAGTCATATCTTAGTAATATGGGAGTAAATAATTGATCAAAAAATACGTGAAGAAACTGAGAAATACTAAAATAAATTTTTGTGTTTGCAAGGTATATAAAAAGTAGATCTTTAGCATATGGTCTAGTGGAAAAATTAAAGGAAAAAAAGTTAATATTATCTTGCAAATAGTGAGAATATATCAGAAAATACATCATATTATTATTGCCATAGAGCTTATGAAGAGTGTATGCAGGACAATTAATTTTTTATTATTTTTTATATTGATTAAAATTATAACTCAATATATAATATGCAATTAAGTATATTTCGACAGAATATCCAAACAAAAAATTAGTAAAAACTTACCAGCAGAAGTGAAAGTGGCTAAGCCCAAGAGCAAGATGATTTTACCGGCAAACATGTTTGCTATTAGTAATTTCCAAAGTATGGACCAATTTCGAAATGTCTTGTATTTATACCCAAAATCTATTGACGCTGCTTTTGATAACAAACTTCACAGGGACTAAGTACAAGTCATTATTAGCTTAACATAAAATTCTATTCAAATCACCGATTTGGAGTGGTCTCTCTTAAAATATCGCAAGGAATAATTTCCCAGTGTTTTTTTATTTATTTTTATATGTTTCTAACGAAATATCTGTTAGAAAATTGCCAATGCTGTTGGAGATCATTTTTATTAATATTAAAGCAAATAAGTAAATGAGACGTATAAAAGATTCTCTAAAAAAATTATCGAAAAAGCTCCATGGAATGCTCTATCCAAAGAAAGTCGAATCATGGAAGTGTAATCTGGTGTACTAAATATTAGGGAGCTGTGATCTTAGTACCAAAGGGGGTTGGATTTATTGATGGCCGAGATAAATTCTCAGGTGTGACTATTCATTACATCTCTCATTGTGATTGAATCTAACAAGGACTGCTGCATACCCTGCCGCAGTTAAGTCCCTGTTAGATTCAAGTCCCTGCGGCATTACCTAGGTAATACACCCAAAATCATTACAAGTATTACATGAAGATGACAAAAAGACAGAAATGATACAAACTTAAAGAAATGAAGTAAAAAAGGAAAAATGGAGCTTGGGTGAAGATGACAATAATTCATTTAATTGTTCTGATTAATAAATAGCATACATGATCTGAAATAGCCAATAATCCAGAAACAATATACACTAAATCGTCACACTGTAGCTATCACAGGAAACACCCAAATAAATAAATAAATAAGATAAATAAGCCGGAAAACAGGTCTAATATTCGCCAATCCTCAATACGCTCATTCAAATGAACACCTATCTAGTGGACCTTTGAATATGTAAATCTGCACTGTAAATCTTTCTACTCTTTGTTCCTTCAAATAATTTTATACCAATCCGAATTCACACATGAGATCTTTAGGTTCATGTAACATGAAGTTAACCAAATTGTGATACTCTCAATAATAATAATTTGGTAAAGAAAAAATATTGGGCAGTGAAAAGTTCTTTGATTAACAGCAGAATTGACCACAGATATACGGAACTAATAGCCAATATATATAAGGAAGCTAAAACAACAATTAAAGTATATGAAGGAACAAAATCAATACAAATAAATAGAGGCGTGAGACAGGGTGACGCCATATTACCAAAACTTTTCAATCAGGCTCTGGAAGATATTTTTAAAAGATTAGAATGGAAAGAAAAAGGTACAAACATTTGTGGACAACGCTTGAACTATCTAAGGTACGCTGATGACATCGTATTGATAACTGATAAAAAAGAAGAATTGTTTGTAATGATAAAAGAACTGGACGTAGAAGCTAGAAAGATAGGCCTTAATATGAATTACAGCAAGACCAAAATCATAACAAATACAGATAAAGACATCACAATGAGGATGGGACAAAATGAAATAGAACAAGTTTAAGATTATATATATCTAGGCCAAACTATAAAACTTAATAAAAAAAAAACAGCAGAGATAAAAAGACGAGTTAGACTGGCATGGGCGACATTTGGCAAACTAAGCTACATTATTAAAAACAAAAGATATCCACAGCATCTTAAGATCAAAGTATACAATCAATGCGTACTCCCTATTCCCACTTATGCTTCCCAAACGTGGATATTTACAAAAACAAGCATGGACAAAATCATGAAAACCCAAAGAGCAATGGAAAGACAAATGTTCTACATAAGACCAATGGATAAAAAGAGAAACGAGTGGATAATACAGAAAACAAAAGTGAGGGATGTTAGACAAGAAAATGCAAAATTGAAATGGAGATTTGCCGGACACAATATAAGACAAAAAAAAAGACCGATAGAACAAAATTCTTATAAGCTGGAGACCGTAAAACTATAAACGAAGCAGAGGAAGGTTCCAAATGAGATGGGTAGATGATATCAAGAAGCACGTGGGCTCTAGGTGGATGACTATATCGACAGACAAAGAAAAATGGAAAAGAATTGGGGAGGCCTATGTCCAAAGATGGACCAAAGAAGGCTAATTAGATAGATAGATAGAAAGAAAATTCGTGCAACTTATCCAGATTACTTTATTATTATTTTCAGCGTGACGCAAAAGCTCCTTTGCGGACGAATTACTCTTGAGTCTAGATAAAGCAAGGAGAAAAAAAAAACACGACACCACAAAGTCATAAAATCAATCCCAATTAAATCGTATCACATATAGTTGCCACCTCCAGAGAAACATGCGGTAAAAAGTTTACCACCACTATAAGAAACTTCAACATATAAAAGCTACCTGTTTATTATATTTAGACTACTGCATACCGATCAGCCCAGAGAACTATCAAAGACATTTAATGTGCTAAGTACCTGATACGGATGTCATAGTCGCTGAATTTATAATTCATTGTTGTCTGCAAAAGTTTGGTCGTTGAAATTTTATAAAGATATACTTAAATCAGGTAACCTACCAAACATCTTCAAACAAACAAAAATCATAGCATTTCTTAAAGAAAGCCAGAGAGTTACCACCCCCAGGCTTACTTAGATCAGCTTATAAAGGTCCTCGAAAGACTGATCCTTAACAGAATTGACTCATCAAAGCTTATTCAAGAAATACAAATTAAATAAGCAGGAATCGGGCCACAAAAAAAAACCACTGATCAATTGCTCTTTTTAAATTCTACCATGGAGACAGGTAACTATCGACTGTATATGACACGGTATGACAACATCTTCCAATCTTTCTGCAAACAGCCTCCCTCAGAGCATCGATGGTTTTTAGTATAAATGTAGTTTATATATCAAAAACGTAATCTAAAAAAATTGGACATGCTTACGACGGGGCACTTTCAGTTCAAAACTCTTCTATCCAAAACTTCAAGGATATCCTAACAGATCCAGTCGTCAGAGATTTGATCTCTAAAAATTATACGAACAAGCTAAATTTTGTGAAGAATATCAATTTTGGGACCCCAAAAAAGATGAAAAAAAGTTTACCACTTTCATCCCCAGGCTTCCCCTAAAACCCCCCTCGTAGAGAGGTAAAAACTAAAAAAAAACTCGATTTACCAAGAACCTGTACGCCGTAAAAAAAGTCTACTCGACTGTCTGAAGACGAAGGGCATACAGTAATAACGTTGGTAACAGTCTATTGATACCAATTCATAGCCGGAAAGTTAACGAATTATGCTCCTGTTGCAGTTTATTTTTATATGTTTTTCTTCTTCTTCCTCCTTTTTATAAGCAATTCTAATTTTTCATTGGCGAATTAATACCTCTATGAAAGGTTGTCACTTCATCTTTTACGCGGTTGTCCGATACTTCTTCTATCGAATGGTGACTTATCTCTTGCTATTTGGACGACACGGGTTTCTCCAATTCTGCTTATGTGGTGATTCCATTCTATTTTTTCATTTAGTGTCCATTCATTATTATAGTGTACGTTACACTTTCTTCTAATGCCTTTACTTCTCTTTTAATTTCTCAGCATATTTCGTGTAATTCTTCTCAGTACTCTCATCTCTGTCGTTTATAGTAGCCTTTGTGTTGTGGCTGTGTCAGATCTTGTTTCTGAGTCATATGTCATTATTGGTCTTACACGCTTTGGAAATTATTATCATCGTCCCAGTGTTAATATGTCTCTTTCGCCAGATAGTGCTATTGAGGCATTCTGCCAATATATTTGCTTTTTGATCTTTCACTTCATTGTCTCTGTCTCCATAGCTGAACAGTGTAATTCCAAGGTATTTTATTTCCATTACTTTTTCAATACTGATGCCATCAATTTCTATTTTACATCTGTTTCGTTCCTTGCTGATTACTATTGTTTTAGTTTTCTTAAATGAGATTCTCATTAAAATTAAAATTAAAATTAAAATTTTTTGCTCTTATGTTAAATCTGTGAATCAGTCTTTTGCAGACTATCTTCATCTTGGGCTATTAATATTGTGTCGTCTAAGTATTTTTATTTCTTTGCTTCCCATTTTGTATCCTCCTCATTTGTTAACGCCTTTGATGATTTCATCCAGGAATAAATTAAAGAGCACAGGGCTCAATAAGTCCCCCTGTTCTATTCCGCTGCCTATTTCTATAGGATCTGTAAGTTGTTATTTTATTTTGATTTCCATTCTGTTGTGTTGGTAGATGTTCTCGATAGTTTTTTTATAATATTTAGGGAAACTTCTCTATTATAAAGAAGATGAAATACATCTTTGAGCCTTACTCTGTCAAATGCTTTCTTTAAATCAATCAGATACAGAAATGCTGGTCTATTATAATACTCTAGTGATTTCTCAGTAATTTGCTTTATACCAAATATTGCATTTGTATTTATGATCTATTTTCCACTAAAGAAAACCCTGTTTTTATCTGCTAAACAAGTTTTAAGGTAGTATTTAACAGGTTTATACCTATTTAGTATTCTGGCTGTTTTTATCTCCAATCCATGTTTCTTTTTCTATGTGTTTTGGTTCTACTAGTTTCTTTACCTTCGTTATTTGATCTCTCATAAAGCCCCATGTTTTCTTTTGCAGACTATAAAAATCATGTTCAAATTCTTTCGAAAAGAGTTTCCAGTGATAATTTTTTATTTTTCTTACAAGTGCATGTGTTATGTTTCTTATTGTCTTGTAATTATGGTATGCCTTTTATGTTTTGGTTGACATGTGTTTCAGTTATTAAGTTAAATTTTTCCATCACTTCTGTACAAAATCATGGAGTTATTTGCATTGTTCTCTTCATTCATAAGACATTTACTAAAAATATCTGACTTTTGTTTGATTAACCGATCTGAAACATATTTTACCAGTTTAGAAATTATTTTCATATTCTCATTCTTCATTCTTTAATTTTTATTAAAAATACATTATTGGAGTATTTTTTATTTTTTTTAAGTCTTAACTTTTTGAACTTCAAGATTTTATAACTTATTGGGAGACATCTTGTTTGCAGTATAATAGTATTATTCAATGAAATTTAAGTATTCGAAACGTTCGCGTTCTACTTATTTCTATCAAATAGTCTAACTAGGTATCAAGCTCATTCCATGTTGTGAAGGTTACTAGATATATCCACTGTCATTTAATCTTTCCACCACTCCACCCGAAAAAAACGCTCAATTCTTCTTCTTCTTTAGGTACCCTCTCCTCTAAGGAGGTTGGTAATCATCACAGCTACTTTCACTTCTGAGATTGCAGCTCTGAACAAGTCGACGGAACTGCAATTATACCACTTTCACAGATTGTTGAGCCAGGAGATGCGTCTTCTTCCAATACTTCATTTTCCCTGTATTTTTCCCTGCATTATGGTTTGTAGCAACACATATTTATCCCCTCTCAACGTGGCTGAGATACTGTAACATTCTTATCTTAATTAAGGCTCAATTAGCGGTGAAAAAAGCTTGACACTTAGACTTCTTTTTCACCTTC